CTGACAAAACCCTGAATAAAACCAAACCCTAGCATTTTGATTTCATTTCAACCCTTAAAAGAGACCTTCCTCCCTCTTTATATCTAAACTCAAACACTCGATCATAATTCATAAGTCACCAGCCATGGATCAAAAGTCTCCGTCAACACCACCCCCAATTCAACCACTTCAGATGAATTCTCCATCTCCGGCCGGTGGTTCTGCTAAACTCGCCATCCCTGATCGTCTTACAGTTCCAAAAGCATTCAAATATCCAGAAATGTAAGCGACTATTTTCTTTCTCCTTTTTTCAATTCAAAAATTAAATATTTTGGTGGTTTTTTGTAGGTATAAAAGCCCAACTGATCAGATCATGTCCCCTGTTTCAAAAGGACTTCTTGCTAGAACAAAGTCTAACAAATCATCGGGTCTCTTACCACCCTCGTTTACTAAAAATCAACAACACAAGGTAAAACCTCATGATGCACACATGCTTCAGTTGTCATACCTTTGATTATCTTTTGTGCTATGTTAATTGATGTAAGATCCCGTGACACTTGCAGATTCAAGCGTCCAAGTTCCAAGATCTCGGTGCTCTTAAAACTTGATCGATTTGCTCAAATATGGTTTTGGTTAGAAATTATTTGAATCTCATTGTGTTTGATTGAACCTTGTGAAACTGTTTTTAAATGATATAAAGCTTATATATTGATTTATACTCGATTGGACTGAACTGAATGGAGGCAAAACTATGGCATTTAATTGATTTGTAAATTGTAATTGCAAATTGCTTGAATGATTTCATTCCAAACTAACTTCATACCACTGAATCGATCCAACATCTCCAATCAATTTCGAGTTCACAAACTGACTTTACAAGGAAGGAAACAGCATCATCAATGGATTCAAATCTTGCAAGATCAGGAGGAAGCGATGTGCCTGGCCAATTTTCTAGCCAGTTCTTCAATCTGACTCTCAGTTCTTCCTCATCTACAAATTCTTCAGCCTTCCCTGGCTCCATTAATACATACGTATCCGTTTCCATGTTTGATCTCCTTCTCCTCGCATTAATCTATTTAAATACTACAAACCGCATATCAACAATCGGTAAAAGAAGAAATATTAGAGAGCAAAAACAAAAACCTTGCCTTCGTTGCGTTTGCGTTCCTATGACGACGTTCAACAATCGGAAATTTTGGGAAACCGGAGTAACTCAAAAATCGAGTTGAAAAACTCGATTTCTGGTGGACAAATGACGGTGTTCTTGCTGAAATTAGCAGATGGTTGGGAAAAAGCTGTTTCTGCATTGCTGCTTCCATGGCTATGGCGTGCAAGAGTGTAGATAAGTGAAAGATATATGAACGCTTTTGAACGGTTAACGTTATGTTATAGAAGAATTCTGTAACTTACATTTTCACCCCTTTATCTTTTGTTTTATTCCTAAAATCATCCCTAAACCTTCTGACAAACAGAAATACCGGTCAAATATGAAAAGAAAAGAGACACATACAGATGAGCGTTTCCTAAATGGGCGCTCAGCCTTCTGTTATTCGATCATCAAACCCTGTTCTTCCCTCTATACAAAACTTTTTCCCCTTTATCTTCTATCTCGTGCCCCGAGGTTTCATCGTTAAAATTTAGGGCAACATTGGTGCTGCCGGCGATCTTAACCGTAGGGTTCCATCTATAAGGGGAATGTTCATGTTCAAGTAAGTTCAGTTACTCACAAATTTTCGATTTTCCATGTCGTTCTATGAATCATCATTCGTTTCATAACGATGCATGAATCCATTGACGTTTCAAAATTTTCATCTCGTGATTTGATTGTTACGTCTTTGTTCAAATTGCAATCGCGAGAACTGTAAATCGTTGCCACGAAACCAGAGTTTTCCTTCTCATCGTCAATTTTGAAGCCATGCATATATGATCATCATTATATCATAAAATTCATAGAATCTATTTCTCACAGATCCGTAAATGTCTTGATTAACTAGTAGTAAGTTAATTTGAGAAAAAAAATTTGAATTTTAGATTATCATAGGAATGATTATAATTCATGGCTTCATGGACTGATTGATAGCTACGCACACGATTTTCGTTTTACAGCATTAGACATTAGTTTATCTGTTGAACAAAACAAATGAAACACAAGAACGGGAGTGGTAGCAGTGAACACCTAGATTCGGAGTTTGATGTTACTTACAGCGTCAAAGATGATGACAAGATGGTTGGCCGTGCGTCTTCCTCTTCTTTCTCTTCTTCCTCTTCCTCATCGTCTTCACATCCAATGGAAGTAAATGGTGGTGAAAATGATGTGAAATTCCCAGAATTTGAAGAAAACGAATCTATCTCGCTAAGATCAAATAATACGGAATCAGCAAAAACGAGTTCATCTGGGAGACTAACAGTGAATTTATCATCAATGGCTTCACCACGATTCTCTGATTTCGATACATCAAATGCATCTCCAATACAATCCCCTCCGATCCAAGTGATGGCGCATTCCGATGACTATGATCCAAACAGGATCCCCTCATCTATATTTTCTCCAAAACAGAGTGATGATTCGGAATGGAGTGCAGCGTCGAATGAATCGTTATTCAGTATCCACATGGGGAGCAATAGCTTCTCCATGGATAGTGATTTTTTTTATAAGCCAGTCTGGAAAACTTCACTGGCTGGACGATGGATTCGAGTATTCATGTTTTACGCCACATGGCAGTTTGATAAGCCCGATGGTGGAAACAACAGTAGAAGACGAACGGAAGAGTGCCGAAGAGAAGGAAGAACTCCTTGAAACCCTAAATGCATCACCAACCGATTTCGTAAGGGGAAAGGAAAGCTCACCGGATTGGGAGTCCAGTCCAAATTCTAGGGTTCCGACGGAGGGGCTCGTAATTCGGATTCAAGTTCCCAAAGCACTGGTTCATTTGCATTCCCTTTGTAAGTTTCTAATAATCCATGGGTGATACTGATGATTCATGATTTGTAGAATCGAGCTTATGGTGTTTGCTACTCTCAGACTTGCAGAGGGGAGTCCGGTGAAGGAAGAAGCTGGAAAACCTCAGTCACCATCATCAACGCCGCCAACGCCTGCTGGAGCAGCGGAGGCAGAAACTACACCACCGCCTGCAGCTCCCGCCACAACCCCTAAAGCTGGTGGCAACCAATGGTTCAATTGCTTCATGTTTCCCAATTTGTTGTTGACGAGACACGATTGAATGAGAAAATTCAAGGACTTGCCCACCTGTTTTCGAGATCTCGATAGCCCAACTGCGCCGATTTAACAAATCAGATCCTCTTTGTAATGAATAAGAAGCTAAGTATTTATTATATACATGCAGATTTTTATCTTCTAAAAATGTTTTAGAGGATAAAATCTTATATTATGTTCCTTGGCTCATTTTAGCACTTTTTGATGCTAATAAAATGAGGTCGACTTTTATTTTGGGTATACGATAATCTGATCACTGTTTGGGTTTGTACTAGTTGTATCTTCAACTTATACGAGTATCCCTTGTGTCCGTTTTAAATTACCACTAATAGGCATTTGGCCTGTTAGCATGGTGAAATGTTCGTGTGAGGATTCAAATTTCATTGGCACATATGCACAATTCAAGTGTAGTTTACGAGTATGTGCGTCGCCATTTTAATAAAAAGAAATGTGAAACAAAACAGCATATCCGTACGACGGTAAATGGATATCGGATACAAATAAATATCCTTTTAAAATTCTTTCTAACACATACGAATTCTTTCTAACACATACGAGTATCAACATTTAAGGGTTTATCTTTTTAATCGCTTAATTTTTTTTATAACTTTATAATGGAACAAAGTTGTAAGCAAACCTGTATTTTTAGTCTTGTTACCTAAACTACAGATAAATATACTACATGACACATATAAAACTGATATTACTAATTTTAAAAGTCAAATCAGCCAACTAATCAAAATTAAAATTCAAGTAAACCAAACTTCTCCATCTTGTCTCCTTTAACGTTTCAAACAATCAATTGAGAAATTCAATCGGAATTTGAGTACAAAATCCGCAAAAACATAATTGTTGATTTGTCTTAAATATGGAAAAACTTTAACCACGTGATTTGCAAAAAACCTTCAAGACCTCATTAACAATGGCATCCAGTAAATTCATTTGTAGAGAAATTCCCAAATAGCTCCAAAGAAACGACAGTGGTGGTCTTACCAACAAAAGCAGGAACGGGTGGTGGTGGGGCTGAAACTGCAGCGATGGTAGAAGGGCAACGAAGACATCATGTGGTGTTGGAAACGACGATGACGGATGGTTGCGATGGCAATGGCGGATTTACTGCTTCGTTTACCATTTGCTGATCGAAGAGGGACCAAGGGAAAACAATGGCGGTGATGGAGCATTTGCGGTGGTTGGTTACGAAAAGAGGAGGTGGAGAGTTTGCCACAGTTGACTGTGGTGGTCCTCTTCGCTGGTGAAGTAAGGAGACGAGGGAGAGTGACGTAGGGTGGTGCCTCGTAGCAAGCTCGATATATATATATATATATATATATATATATATATATAATATATATATATTATATATATACACAAGGTTCTAAAAAGCATGAGGCGTGGTGGCGGGCAAGGCCAAGCCTCAAGCTTAACGAGTTATGACGAGCCATGATGTTTTTTCAAGGCGTAATGTAAGGCGATGATTTTGTATTCATTTGTAATTATATTACCACATAAATATAAATTTATATCAAATATACCTAGTTTTTAAAAATGTTATATCAACAACTAATAACAGAAAGTTAATAAAAAAACACAATACTTGTATGTCCGATTAGAAAAGGTATAAAAAGAGCAAAAAAAACGTGTCTCAAACGAAAAAAACACGCGCCATAACACGCCATAACGCGCCATGGCACGCCATATCACGCCTTGCCACGCGCCACACCTAACAACAACGTTATGAAGCTTTTCGTAACGGCGACGCCGCGCCTCACGCCATGGCGCGCCTTTTAGAACACTGTGTATATATATATATATATATATTATATATATATATATATATATATATATATATATATATATATATATATATATATATATATATATATATGAAGGTTTGAAGGGTTCACGACCGTGAACTGATTTCGACATTTGAAGATTTGAAGGGTTTGCGGTCGTGAACTCAAGAATGACAATATTGGATTTGATGAAAAACGCGTTTTAGAGGTTCCACAATAACACCCAAGTGTAGTTTTTGATTATTTTCGGAAGAAAAAGAGGGTATTTTTTGTGTTTGCGGTTGAGAGTTTAGAGAGAGAATAGGTGAGTTTTCGGCCAAAAAAATGTAAATGAGGGGTAGGAGTACATATATATAGGTTGGGTTCATGGTTAGTGGTGGGGCCCACCAACCGTGAACTGGTTTACGGTCGTAAACACCAGACATGCCGGTTTTCGTTGATTTTCAAATAAACTCGGGTTTTCGCACGATTTTGGTTCTGACTCTTATATAAAACTTAATTATATAACTTAAATGATTTTCCAAACCATAAGAATCTGATGGAAACTAAATAAAAAATCAAAATTTATTTAATGGAATCGGCTAACGTTAACGTAAAAATAGTCGAGTTGTCACATATAGTGTGGCTAGGATTAGGGTTACATCCATGTAAACCCTAATGTGAATGACTTTTCATCTTACTTAGTATCCACGAGTTAAAACCTCCATGGACTATCCATGGACTACCATATTGGTTTAGCCAATCCTAAATAACCATAAGCCCACACCATAAGAATGATTGATTTACCAAATCAATCCCCTTATATTTAATTAGTCTCTTTTGATCACTAAAATAATTCCAAATTAATTTTTGGTCAATACTAATTAAATAATATGATTTCATGTTAATATATTAGAACTTATAATATATTAACAAATCACAAATAACCTCTTTTCAAAAGTCTATCCTATCAAATTGTCCGGGTGATATGCAACCCAAATAGACCATGCTACTCTCGGGTCAATTACATACCAATTATAGTTATGAGTTTAGACACCTAATCCAACAGTCTCCCACTTGGATAAGTTTAATAACTATTATTGCAAGTACGACTCCACAACCCGACTAGCAATTGTAGCTCTTAAAAGCCGCCGTCGAATTCTGGACTAGTCAATGACGCGTCCATTAGATAAGGGATCATATATTCCTCTATTCTAGATAGCATATGTACACGAGACATGGATTTTAATCATTCTCTCTATCCATCTATTGTTTCCCGATTTCCGGTTTATGACAACTGACTAATTGAACAAATCAAATCAGTCCAGGCTTGGCCAAGCACTTAGGTGTCATCACTAAATCATCGAGGGTCCCACGGATATCAATTTTATCCACATGGGGTAAAAGGAAAGGATAAACTTCGACCCAAATCTTTGCTTGTACTCACTCATCAAATTACACATAACAATATATTTTATAACACCAAGTGACTGGTGCATTTACATATGACAATGTGCAACCGACTCACAACTACAACTCACATATCTCCGTTTCAAAATCACTCATGATAAAATCCATGAAGTGATTCAGATAAGCGTGGGTTGAATCGAATACTCGAATCTTATTGTAGCACCTGGTTCCTGGTATGTAAATTTTATTTGAGTATTTCCCATTTTAGCCTTGGACTCGGCGAGTCATAGGTCCGACTCGCCGAGTAGGGACGAGACTCAGGACACGTTTAAGTTGGCGACTCGGCGAGTCCATATCCTGGACTCGGCGAGTCATATCCTGGACTCGGCGAGTCACCGCTGCTGGATGAAACCCTAAATTTCAAGGGTTTGCACCCTATTTAAACCCTCATTTCCGCCCCAAACTCCCCCCATTCACCCTCAGAGCTCCCAACATCGTTTATACCCTTATTTCCTTGAGAGATTGAAGTGTTTTGGTGTGTTCTTGAAGATTTTGAGGAGAAAGAAGAGTAGATCAAGAAGAGGAGAAGGAGGCCAGGCATCTTTGTGTCATCTCAACGTTTTCCTTGAGGTATAGCTCGTTTCCCCTCTGTTTTCAAGCTTGTAGTCTCTTTTAGCTTCATGGAAGTCCTTCTTGAGCCATTCCCCAAGCTTGTTTGTGCATTGTGGGTTGTAATAAGTTGTTAGCCTTTAGACCTAGGCATGATTTAGTCCCTGGAGCTTGGATCTAATGCCTTTATGGGGTCATATTGCATGAAAGCCCTAGATCTACCCCTTTTGGTGCACTTTGAGCCCTAAAATCCATATTGGTGAATATCTACACGTAAAGTTGGAAACTTTACGTGTGATTCGTGTCTTAGAAGCCCAGATCTATGAATGGCATGGACTGAAATCGAACAAATCGGTGTATTTAATGGATGCATGGCGACGACTCGGCGAGTCGTTCATGTGACTCGGCGAGTCTGCTCGCGAGTCACCGAATTGGTCCCTTTATGTTGTATCGAGTTTGAGCAGTGAGTCACAGGGGGTGACTCGGTGAGTTGGAAGCTGAACTCACCCATGGTAGGACTCGGCGAGTCATGGCCTGGCTCGGCGAGTCCAAGGCAATCTTCATAGATCAAGAACAGACTCGGCGAGTTGTTCATACAACTCGGCGAGTCTAAGCATGAGTGTTCATCGGATGAAGATGAACTCGACGAGTTGTTCATACAACTCGGCGAGTAGGACGAAGAACTTCAATGTCAGTTTAGAAGAAGAACTCGTCGAGTCATAGCCTAACTCGACGAGTAGAATCAGGGACTCAGGACAATCGTCTGGATAGGAACTCGGCGAGTTGGTGAGCCAACTCGGCGAGTCGGGTCAACTGAAAGTTGACTCTGACTTGGACTCAGGGCTAGACCTGGGGTGAAATGGTCATTTTACCCAAAGGACAGTTAGCAGTGTTTGATTGAGTATGTTGTGGGAATTGCAGCCGGAGGATTTCCGGAGCAGCAGCAGCAGCAGTCAGTCAGTTCCCGATCAGTTCAGCAGCTACTTTGAGGTGAGTTACCTTCCAGTAGTGGTGGGTCTAAGGCCACAATGCCGGCCCACCAGTAGGAGACGTATGATAGATGATTGTCTTTGTGATATCATCTGGGTTTGCTATTACCTGATATGTTATATGCTAGCATGATACGTTATATGCGATAGTAGTAGAGTTCGGTTGTTAGGACCGCAGGGTAGTCAGACACCCCAAAATGTCTGACAGTATGTGATGATATGTTTGTATGTTGGCCTGTTATGTTATGCGATAGAGGTAGTAGGAGGGGACCAGTCCCGAGGATCGGTTGTTAGGACGATGGGTAGTCAGCACCCCAGAATGGCTTGACATGGGTAGTCAGCACCCCAGAATGGCTTGACACGGGTAGGACGGCACCCCAGAATGGCCGTATGGGTAGGTCGGCACCCCAGAATGGCCGTACCGGGTAGTCAGGCACCCCAGAATAGCCTGGCAGTATGCATGTTATGTGTTTGTATGGTATGTGGTACGT